ACTAAAGTCACGAAAACACTATTTTAGAAATGGAATGGACCTGTATGCATGAATAAGAAATTCTTGTGTACCAACCATGTATTATATGTTCTTTGGCCACAGAAACAATTCCTATCCCACTAATCAGTTCAATTGACTTTCAGTATTATAAAGGATACAGTCAACATCAACACACCACACTGCTCCTGTGTGCCCATTGTAGGTACCAAGTCGTTCTCCATTCACAGAATACCAAGCATTTACAACCTAGAAGAAAACCCATAAATATTTACTAAAAGTGTCAAGTAGTTTCATTCTTTAAAAGAGAATTTTATTTTACAAATAAAACCGATACCACATATCAAACTCATCAGAAAACATGTAAATATAGACCTTAGATGCAGATTTATGCCCTGGCCAGTTCATTTCTCCACAAACCATTAGGTACATGGTCTTGTTTAAAGCTGAGCTCAAAGCATATATACAGTACTGTGCAAGTTTTAGGCAGGTGTGAAAAATGCTGTCAAGAAAGAATGCTTTCAGAAATAAAAAAAGTGTTCATAGTTTATTTTTATTAATTAACTCATCAGTCCAGAGCACCAGCTGCCATTTTTAGCGGGCCTTGAGGCCAAAAAGCCGTGCCTCAGACATGGTAACAAGGCTAAGCGACTCAACTATGCATGAAAACATAGGAACTGGAGAGTAGAAAAATGGAAGCAGGTGCTCTGGACTGATGAGTCAAAATTTGAAATATTTGGCTGTAGCAGGAGGCAGTTTGTTTGCAAAGGGCTTGGGGAGCAGTACAATAATGAGTGTCTACAGGCAACAGTGAAGCATGGTGGAGGTTCCTTGCAAATCTGGGGCTGCATTCTGCCAATGGAGTTGGAGATGTGGTCAAGATTAATGGTGTCCTCAATGCTGAGAAATACAAGCAGATACTTATCCATCATGCATACCATTAGTGAGGCGCATTGATTGGCCCCAAATGTATTCTGCAGCAGGACAATGACCCCAAACATACAGCCAATGTCATTAAGAACTATCTTCAGTGTGAGGAAGAACAAGGAGCCCTGGAAGTGATGGTTTGGCCCCCACAGAGTCCTGATCTCAATATCATGGAGTCTGTCTGGGATTACATGAAGAGACAGAAGGATTTGAGGCAGTGTACATCCACAGAAGATCTGTGGTTAGTTCTCCAAGATGTTTGGAACAACCTACCTGCAGAGTTCCTCCAAAAACTGTGTACAAGTGCACCCAGAAGAAATTGATGCTGTTTTGAAGGCAACAGGTGTCACACCAAATATTGATTTGGTTGGGATTTCTCTTTTTTTCATTTACTTTCCAATTTGTTAATTTTTATCCAATGTATTTTTTGTTTAAATGAAAGCTGTATAAGCACCTGAATTTGATCTGGAGTTAGGAGAGGAAGAAGCAGCACAAAGAGCCAGTAAGTTCGGCTACAGTGCTCGTATCCTACAATGCTGATAGAAGAGAGCAGAGTGACAAAGATAAGCTCCTATGACTGGCAGGTAAGAGACCTGTAAGTGTTAATGAAATGTTGTGCAGTGTAAATCCCAGGAATGCATGGGCAGAAATAAAAAACAATTTAAAAGGTAAAACAGCTCTTGTATCTGTATCCAATTTGTGTACTAAGCTGTTTGCCTGGAGTTCAGCTAATATTCCCACCCAAGAGGACATTTCTTGCGTCCTCCCAATAGAATATGGGGAAACAGATCCTCCTAGATTACTTTCCATACATTTTAGTTGATTTAATTTCTTTCAAAATTCATAATCCAGGGAATTTGTACATTTCAACATAAATAAAGTTGCATGCAATATTTTACTATGCCTGTGCTCCTTAGTGCCATAAGCAGCTGTAGAGTAACACATACTGTATATGGATGGCACTTCATTCTTATCAGCCCTTGGAATTGGCCAAGACAATAAAGAACCCACATAGCATAACCAGGCACTTTAAAGCATGAGGGCTAGAAGCAGTAAACTTCCACTTCATACTAATATATAAAAGGCTTCCTCAGGTGACCCCTAGAAATAAAATTAAGCATGTAAATCTAGTTGTATACTTACTGGGTCTTTAGCAACTGTAAACAGCAAGTCGCCATCACGATTGTACTTTATCTGAGTAATAGACCTCTCATGGCCCTGAAGCAGGATTGGTCTCTGGTTAAAAAAAAAAAAAAAGGTTAAAAAATTATACATTTCAAATATTAAAATAAAAATTGGTTAAGGCATAAAAGGATTTCCATATCGAACCTATGCTGATCAAATTGGGTAGTGCAACAGTTCCCTGCATTAACCCTCACGGGCCCGAAGCAGGATTGGTCTCTGGTTAAAAAAAAAAAAAAAAAGGTTAATAAATTATACATTTCAAATATTAAAATAAAAATTGGTTAAGGCATAAAAGGATTTCCATATCGAACCTATGCTGATCAAATTGGGTAGTGCAACAGTTCCCTGCATTATAACCACTGAACTATTTAATTCCAGGATGGTGTATGTAGACTGATTGTGTACTCCCAACCTACTGCATGCAGCAGTCAGGATTTGCTTTACTCACACTCACGGGAGTTGTCCTCTTAATGCACACTTTTTTACCCACAGTATTTACCATTTCAGACAGTGTGTGTACTGATGAAAAGCTCGGCTTTGCAACCTTACAGACTGCTGCTTTAAAGTGCATTTCCACTTTTGCAGTCAAATTGGGATAACGCCAAGGGGTCTATTTATAACCCCTACGAGCCATTTGCCCTATAAAGCTTTCTGAACATTCGTTCTGACACAAAAACAAATGTTTTTTAGATATACTTTCTTTTAAGGTTCTATGTGTGTAGTGCAATACTGCATTATAGCCACTAGATGGAGCACTTCATTCCAGGCTTAAAGGAGAACTATGGGTTTAGGGCTTTTCCCCATAGTTCTCCTTAGGGTAACGGGAGGACACAAACTAGCGTCCTCCCGTCACCCTAAGCACAGTATATATACTGAGACGCCGCAGCTGAAGCGGATCCAGACAATTATGTCTGGATCCGCCCAGCTGCGTGAGTGACAGCTGGCTCTGCCTATCTAGAGGCCTGTCACTGCAAATTGGCTATCACATAGGGGGCTTGTTATTTAAAGTCTCCCGCCCCCACATACACATGCATCAAGTGTGCCTACGTGCGAAAACGACGATTGCATCCATTGCGCTGCACATGTTACATATCGTCGTGAATGTCAAAGTGAGAGCAATAATTCCAGAGCCATTATTCACTAAACTGATGAGCGGCAAAAGCTTTTATAAATAAAATAAAAACCGCAGTGGTGATTATATACCATTAAAAAAAAAAAAGCTCTATCTATCCCCAAATAATGGTATAAAATTATTTTCTGTACAGCATTGTATGATGGAATAAATGTCAAAGTACCGCAGCGATGAACATTTAAAAATGGCCTGGACAGGAAGGGGGTGTAAACAGCCCAGTCAGCAAGTGGTTAATTATTATTATTATACAGGATTTATATAGTGCCAACAGTTTGCGCAGCGCTTTACAATATAAGGAAGACATTACAATCACAATACAATTCAAGACAAGATGGTAAGGAGGGCCCTGACCTTGGGGCTTACAATCTAAAAGAGAAGGGGCAAGTGACACATGAGGAGTTAGCTGTGTGGGGAAGACTTTTTGAGAACGTGATGGTTCAGTGGTTAGGTTAAGGTGGGATAGGCTTCCCTGAAGAGATGAGTCTTTAGGGATCGCTTAAAGGCAGTCAAGGTGGGAGATAGACGGACAGGTTGGGGTAAAGAGTTCCAGAGGATGGGAGAGACTCTAGAGAAATCCTGGAGGCGAGTATGGGAGGAATTGACATGATTCTGAACAATCAGAATCCAGTTTGTACAAATCTGACTACAGGAGAGAGAATTTGGTTCCTATAAGTTACCACATCAGATATATTTAATCAATAAATCCCTCTATTTTACTACTTCTAAATAAGTAATAAGAATAAATACTTCTCTAAACATCGCAAGAACTCCACTTAGAGAGTTTGTGTGTGTCACCTTTGACCACATCAACAGACTCCTAGTAAAACAAACTAGACATGATACAAATAAAGGGAGCTGGCCTGCAGCATCTCATCACTACTGAAAGGTCCACTGACAATAGTCAGCCATCACAGGACTTACAGCTACAGAGTAACAACAAACTATGGTTGGTCAAACTATGGTGAGTCGCACTGAGCCCATACCGCTAACACCCGCCTATTACAGGGAGCCCACTAGCCCTTTTACCCACCATGGTGAGAGCAGCTGCGGCCAGGAACAGCGCGTGCAGAAGGAAGGCGGAAGTCGGAGCGGTAAAGTCTAGCAACTCCGCTCTCTATGGTTCTAGGTACCGGAAGTGCTGGGAGTCAGGAAGCTTGTGTAGAGCGCAGCGACTGGTGTATTGGAGGAGTGGAGAGAGGGGGGGTTGTGTGGGAGCAGCAGCATGCTGTCATGTCTATAGCCGTAGTAGACCTGTGCTCTCTTCTCCTGGTGGCATTATTGTGGGGAGTCACTAACCCTTTCCTGAGGAAGGGAGCAGAGGGGGTAGAGAGAGTGAAAGAAGAAAGCAAAGTGTGGAGACTGCTGTGTGAGGCCAAGTTCCTTATCTCCAATTACAGGGTGAGAGAGATAGGACAAGCTCTTCCTACCGGCCATACCCATGGGCTATTTTACTAAATTCCAGCCCAAGCTTTTCTTTAGTTTTATTTATGGAGGAGAAGGGTAGGAACATCTGTAAAGATTTTTTTTCTGTCTTACTGCTTGTTGGTTCTATCTACTCTATACTGTATTCCAAGCAAAAATGCTGAAGACAGTGAGGCTTGCGTCAGAGTCTGGGAAAGCTAATTGTAGATCTTAAAATGGAACTAAAGGCACTTTGAATAAAATGTAAGCCCTCTTTGAAAGTTTAAATGTCTATCTCTGGGGGGGAAAAAACTCCCCTTGAGTGGGGCTGCTCGTGTATGTCTAGGGTAGCCGGGTTAAGGCCTGTTACTTATCTGATCCCTGCTGACATAGGTTGTAACACCAGCACCTGTGGCCTCTTCTCCCCCTCCGCTCTGGCGGTCAGAGGTCCGCTGACATCATCATGTAGAAGGTATGGTCCATAACCCTGCATTATATGTGAGGGTGCCAAGGGAGATTCTACAAGCTGGAGTGTATGGGAGAGAGGTGAGCACCAACTGCCAGGGAAGCGGAGATCAGGTAGGTAATGGCCCTTAACACAGCTACTCTAAACATTAACAAGTATCAGGGTAGCCCCACTACAAGTGGAGGTTTTTTTCTTTCCCCAGGGATAGACATTAAAGTGATATTAAACAGGTGTTAAATTGTAAAAATGCATTAATGTACCCTAACTATTTGTGTATCACTTGGCTGTAAAGCCTCAAATCATCTCTGAATTCATGCTGAAACTGTCCTTCAGTGGTGGAACTACCAGGGTCGCAGGGGTCGCGACCTGGCCCTGGAGTTCCGTCACTTGGAGGGGGCCCAGGACAGGAGGAAGGGGCCCCTGGTGACCGCTGATTACCAGTCCCAGGACCTCTTGCTCCTGTCCTGGGCCCTACATGCTTCACGCTGCTCCCCTCACCTTTTTCCGGGCGCAGCATGAAGCATCATCCAGCCAGGCAGCAGCCAATGAGTGGGAGCGGTGTAATCCCCGCCCCCTCATCACACAGAACTGCTACCCAGTGCCGAATAGAGCTGCTGCGGACACGTAGGGGGAGACGCAGCTGGAAGTATGAAGGAAGGTGACATGGGGTCCGGGAGCGGAAAGCTGGGGACATGAAGGGGGAGAGTGTTTTTTTTTTTCCTTGTCTAAATGTCTAAATTTTGTTTAAAAAAAAAAATCTAATTTGTTTCTCCTTGGGGGGCCCTTCATGGATTCTTGCATCGGTGCCCTGAGGTCACTAGTTACGCCACTGCTGTCCTTCCTTCTGGAGGGTGGCTACTTTTGTTCCCCATGGTCCCTGTGTGTGTTTTGAAGTAGCCATCGCTCCCGTGATGGACTATAACTTCATTACAATTTAGTAAACTAAACATGAGATTGTAGTCCATCACAGGAGTAAGCTTGGAGTGGTGGTTACATTACAACACACACAGGGACCACGGGGGAACAAAAGTAGCCCCCCTCCAGTAGGAAGGACAGTGTCGGCACCAATTCGGAGATGATTTGAGGATCTACAGCCGAGTGACACACAAATAAGATACATTTTTGTTATTAGGTTACTTAATGCATTTTTAGGATTTAACTCCCGAGTTTAGTGTCACTTTAAGTTTCGCATAATGCAGTCCCAGCAATTGTGGAAAACAGCCTCTTCTTTTATTTTTATTTTTTAAGGAGTAAAAAAAGTGCATGCCCTCTAAAGTTTCAGTCCCGGCATCATGGAGATGCTGGGAAAGTAATCTACATTGCACTGGAGTGACAACTCTCTCCTCAATTATCAAAATGAATAGGCATTATACTAGTTTGTACTGCACATGTGTGGACTTCTGAATGACATTGGCTGTGGGCAGATGAAGCTACCTGGAAAAGGAGGCTGGGGACTACTTAAAGACAGCACTGGTTTTACAAACAGAGGGCTATGTATTTCCTGCAGGGTTTTATTACACATTCTTAAATATCTAAGAGAAGTTGTTGTACATGTAGTTAAACGCCTCTTGCACACTATGGTCTCGGCAGACTGCAGATTACTGTAGAACAAAGCTATAACATAACTATACATTTCTGGTAGTTTGCACATTATACACTGGGGGGGGAGAATTAAAGCCGACCTAAACAATAATTTATATGCAATAAATTGTAATGACAATAATCAATTGCCAGTGACCAACATTGTCTGATGGTGGTAATGGAAAGGACGACACATTATACATTTGTGCCCTTCTTTTAAAACAACCCGTTGCTATAATAAACTTTCCAAGGCAAGGCATGCCTATACTGCCATGCACCTCACCACAGATCTCGCTGATTCACCCTGCTGACCTCCATATCATTACAGGAGACCCCCAAGTGAATACTTACCTATCCTACTGCTTGCACTGCCGAATCCTGCATGAACCTCTGTTATGTTCTGTGGTTTCATCCACTGGCCCCTGGTCACTGCAGTAAAGAGTAGTGACATAGGGGTTGGTGGAAGAAACGATAGTACAACTGGGTACCAACACTCTCAAATGTGCCAGATGAGCTTACACAGGGCTTTTATTTTAAGGCTGCAGCAGGGAACAGGTTGGAGGAGGAGTGCAGGGTTGGCTTAAAAAAGAACCTGTGCCCTGAATGAGTAAAGTGACAGGTTCAATCTAGGATTTACCAACATCTGTGTAGTGCGAATGCCTACCTACTGATTGGCACAGTTTATTAAGATGGGCTATTACACTGTTGTTCTTGGTAGATCGCGTTAATCCATATTTAAAGCGTATGTCAAGCCAAATTATTATTTTTTTGTTTTAGATGGCGTGGGGAAGAAATCCAACCCTTGTATAATTTTTATTGCTATCTAGGGCTCCATTAGAGAGATTTAACCTCACTTCCTGGTCTGTTGACAATGGCATTACCAGACAGGAAGTGAATAGAATAAATAGTGCCAGTATGGGACAAACAGACACACTTGGGGGAGAGCTACAGACCCCGGTCTGGTAACTGACCTGCACTATCAATCAGAACTGGAGAAATGTCTGTGCTAAATCCAAATAGCTTACATTTACTCTATAACAGGCGCAAGAAGGGTGGGATGACATGTTGGCACTGAAGATTCTAAATGAACCTTTTGCACACTAGTGTATACTCTTACATATTTCTTGCAAACTTTTGCATAAAAATAGGTATTCTTGTTTCGCCTGTATCGCAATACATGTTCAAGCTTGCCAACTGGTTAGTCCCAGCTCTACTGTGCAAAATATAATCAGCCACACAAAGTAAGGGGAAATGTCTCTAAACGCTGCCTTAGATAGTAAAAATATGGCAAGGGTTCTAACCCTTCTACTCACAAAAGTTTAGACGTAAAATGTTTGAAAAAGGGATGTTGATTAGAGGATTTCCTTGATCTCTGTTGTCTTATTACTAAAAGATATTCAAGCAAATGCAGAGCCTCCATATTAGAAAACAGACAGCTGCAGTTTGCAGTAGATGGCATTCAGTCCACCCCAGCCCCACCAGCTGCAAAGTGTCAATTGAGGCATGTGGCTGTGAACACAACTTTAAAGGTGCCCATACACCTTACGACCATCGCAAGACTTTTGTCTTGCGATGGTCGTATGCTTCTTGAAAGCCCGTACGATCTGCCCACCTTGGACGGGCAGATCGTACTTGCGATCATCGAAAGCCCGCCCCGCTAAGGGGCGGGCTTCCGATGACGGCAATGCAGAACGGGCAGTGTGCGCGTGCGCACACCGGCCCGTTCCGCAGCTATCGGGCGAGCAGGCTAGAAACCCGCCGAGAATCGTACGATTCTCGGCGGGTTTTCGAACATGTTGGCTCGACAAAAGACGTGCGACCGTACAGTAGAAACGGTCGCACGTCTTAGTTCACACTGCTCGATTCTCGTACGATCGCGGGATTTCGCCCGATTCTCGTACGAGAATCGAGCAGTGTATGGGCACCTTTTAGACTAACATTTTTAGGGTGCTTGGCAGGGACACGGAAAAACATCACCCCCTTTAAAAAACAAACAAACAGGTAAAATGAGTTCTATCAGCCACATGAAAATTGTTTTGGCAAATAACTTGTACATTGCAGTTAAGAGAATTGATCCTGGTGTTCCTTTTTTTTTATTTTTCAGTACATTATACCCTTTCTTCTTAACCAAAGTGGCTCAGTGTTTTTTTATCTTACATTGGCATCAACAGGTATGTTCTTATTTTTAAATCTGTACTGTTAAAGTATGTGTTTAGTTGCTTTACAGCAGGGATAGGCAAACTCTGTCTCTTCAGCTTTTGTCGAACTACAAGGCCCATAAAGCATTTCAAGACTCTTGACAGTGACAGACATGACTTCCAGAGGCAGATGCATGGCCAGAGCTAGAGGGCCGAAGTTTGGCTAACCCTGCTATAACCCCTCCCCGACTGATGAAGGGATTACCCCATCACCATCCTTCAGTTTGTTAACGACCGGTGACGGGATAATCCCGCCATTCTGTAAAATGAGCGCTGGTACGTAAAGGGACCAGCGCTCATTGAGTTACTGCTGTTGATCACTCCCTCAGGGTCTGAGGCAGACCATCCACAGAAGATTAGGTGGTCACAGTCCTATGATCACAGAGAGAGCTGATCGCTGTGATCGCAGAGCCATGACCGTCACAGAGCCGGCAGCAGTTCACTGTGTTTTGTAAACTGCTAGCTGACTGTTACAAAAGTATCCCTGGGGAGAATACTGTATTCTACTCAGAGATTATACGTATCAAAGCCCTGTAAATAAAAAAAATAAAAAAACCCTAATGCCCGGTGGCGCGCATGAATAGTAATGCATGCTCAAGTTTTTGGTCTGTTTTTTCTTGTTTGTATCACAATACAAACATTTTTTGCATCTTCAAAGTGGTAGGCATGTTGTGTAAATCAAATGATAACCCCACCCCCCAAATCAATTTTAACTCCAGGTGGTATAAAATAGAATAAAAGGCCAAGGGGGGGGGGGTATTTTTGCAAGCCACTTTATGTGTAGAGCCAAACATTGATAGCATTGTTGCGGCAAACTGATGAAGAACTGAACCATTAAAACTTTTCCAGGGGAGATTAATATTTTTCTTTATTAGGAGAATGATGGTACTGTCATCCATAATGAGATGCTCTTCATCAAATTCCCTCTTCTCATGTCCCATTTTATCACAGATTGTGCCACTGTTGCTAACATTAAATTCTAATAAGTTTATCAGTAAAGCCAGGGGTGTCCCCATAATGAGGCAGCATCTCATTGGGGGGGAGGGGCAGCATGGGTGATTAAAAGCACACCATCCCCCCTAGGCACCACAAAATGGTTTTCTTGACCAGAGTCTTAAGGTGGCCATACACTTAACAACCTTTGTACAGCTCTTGTTGTCCAGACATCTCACCCTCTTTCAATTTTCTTACAACTAGCCCATCATGCACAGACCAAATGTAGTTCGCAAATAACACTCATCAGCACCACGACCTGACTGATTTTCATCGATCGAAAAAACAGATTTTCATTCGAGCATGTCAATTTTCATCCAATTAGACAAAAGTTTTCTAGCCTGTTTGAAAGACAAAAATCTGACAGTTGTACAGTAATTGAGGTTTCATTTTTAGGGAAATCTTGAGATTTAAAAATAGTTTCCATATTTTAATACCTCCTTTTATTAGGCTTCCGTTATTGAACCAAAACAAGTACACAGCAAGTATAGTCAGAACTTTTTGGGGTCAATTACTCAATATTATTGAAGCCATAGTAGCTAAGCAACTTCTTTTTTTTGAGAAGGAGGTGAACAATGACAATCTCCAAATTTATCCTCATGACAAGTTTCCTGTAATGATTTATCCATTCTTATGTCTGCCTTTTTATAGAGCTGTCCTTGGCTGTCCCAGTGTGCAACTCTCTTGCACTGGTTTTCACAGTGGTGACTGGATGGATGCTGGGAGAGGACATTGGTGGGAAGGGTAAGTCAGTTGAGTGTTAGGTATTATACTAAATTAGTGAATGAAAGGGGGTATTTACCTACTAGATGTACCAAAAAGTTTAACTTTAAAGCTTAAAGTGACTTTGCATTTTAGCCAAAGAAGCCCAACTAGTGCATTTGCAATTATTTGCATTTGTAAATCAAGTACCATATGTTGCCTGTCCTGCCTTTCATTGTGCTGACTGATCTTCTGCTGGACCCTCCCTGGAAAATCCTATACAACTACTGACCCTCAAGTCTAAGCCCACCACCCAGATGATAATGCTTATGACAATAGGTAGCCCAGGGGCTGAGTGCTGTAATTGTAGGAAGCAGGGGGAATTGTCTGTGTACTCTGAATCCATAAGTATCAGAATTTACTTGGGGCTTAGGGATGAACGTGTGTGTGTGTATTTTACATTTGTAATCAAAATTTTTCACCCCCTATTGCAAATCAAGATTGCTTTATTGGCACAATTTACAGACTTTCAGCTGTGTGCAATTAACAAATCAAAGAAAAGCAATTGAAATAGATCAACACAATGAATGTTTCAAGTATGTTCCCCAAATTCAACTGCAGTCTCAGAATTATTCAACCCCTTCATGGCAAGCATCTCTAGGACTTAGTAGAGCACCCTTTTGCGGTTATGATCTGCTGCAAACGAGATGCATAGGCAGACACCAGCTTCAGGCAGTGTTCCTGAGTAATCTAAGCCCATTGCAAATGAGCAATGGCCTCCAGTTCACTAATAGTCTAAGGTTTGTGTGCTGCAACTGCCTTCTTCAAATCCCCCAAGGAATTTCCATGGGATTCAAGTCAGGTGACTGTGATGGCTACTGTAGAATCTTCCAGGACTTCTTCTGCAACCCAGCCTTGGTGAAATTTTAGGTATGCTTAGGATTATTGTCCTATTGGAAGGTAAAATGATTCCTAAGCTTCAGCTACCCCACAGATGGTATGATGTTTTCTCCCTAGGATTTCCTGATACTTCAGTGAAACCATCCTGCCTTCCACATGCTCTAGGTTTCTAGTGCCAAAGCAGCCCCAGAGCATCACCCAACCACCACCATGCCTAACTGTAGGCAGAGTGTTCTTTTCAGTGTATGATTCGTTCTTCTTCCTCCAAACATACCTCTGATCCATAGGGTCTTGCCACCAAGTCTTGCTGCAGGTCTTTTGTAATTACTTGAGGGTTTTTCTCAACCTGCCTTTTCAGAAATCTGGCTGCAGCCGTTGATAGCCTCCTTTTTTGCCCCATCCAGGGAGTGTAATCGCTGTTCTTTTAACATTAAACTTGTGAACTATGCTTCCAACGGTTTTTATCAGAACATTCAGTGCCTTTGCTATCTTTTTGTATCCTATTTATTGTTTGTGAAGGGCGACAATCTCTTAACTTTTTTTTGACCATTCTTTTGACTTTCCCATATTTCTAACAACATGCAGTCAAATGTGACACTCAACAAACCCCTAGCCAGTTCAGGTATTTCATGTGTTGTAGCTCAAGCACGCCTGGTACAACTAATGAAGCACTTGATTAGTTGCATCAGGTGTGCTTGAGACAACAGCTGCTTTGCAGATGTGTGCTCTTGTGAGGGATTCTATTCAGGGGGTTAAATCATTTTGATTGATTACAAGTGTGTGTGTGTGTGTGTATGTGTGTATATATATATA